CTCTCTCCTCTGCATGGCAGCCCCCGCAGAACAGCTCTGCCCTGCCCACTGGGTGCTCCCCAGCCACTAGATGAGGATGAGGGTCAGGGCTTCGGGGACAGCTTCCTCCCTGGGACCCCACCTTGGCCCTGGCCTTCTCGGGAGCTCACCAGAGCGCAGGTTGGTCATGGTGGAGGGCAACTGGAGATAGGCAGGGTTGTGAGTGGTGACGCCAATCTCAATGGAGCCAGCCCATTTGTCCACCATCTTGTCAATGCGCACCTGGAACACCTCTCCATCCCGCAGGGCTCTGCTGCTGAGTACCACGCCATGATTGAAGTCGTCGGTGGCACTGAGGGCACAGCACATGGGGAGTCAGATCCCAACACTCGGTGTCAAGGCTTCCCCCAGTGACGCCCGCCAGCCCCAGCCAACCAACTGAACCTCCCACTGCGGGAGGCGCCCCACTCTCCTGTCCAAAACGCCCCAGACCCGACTCCCTCTGCCTCTCACTTGTCCAGCCACCCCCTCTCCAGTCCCATTAGAGCCCCTTCTGCAGGCTTCTCCCCACCCCGTGGGCCATACTGGGGCCTCAGGGCAGTGCGTCCCTCGTGGGTGATGGCTGCCTTCTGTCCACAGTTAGGGTGGAAGAGCAGGCGCTCGGGTTCCGCCTGGGCGGCAGGAGCGGTTCGGCGGAGGGCGCCCTCGGGGGACAGTGCCCGCAGGATGGCATTGTTGCGGCGGAGACGGTCGCTGTGGTTATTATTGTGGACAATGGTCACCTTCACTGCCATCCCGTACAAATCCACCACACCGTACACCACTGGGGGCGTCAGCGGGGTGGCCACACCTGTGCAGTGGAGAACGGGGGGAGGGGAGTCAACCACGGGGAAACCGAGCACCCACAAGAGGCAGGAGGCTGAGGTCCTGACCCTATGCTCCCCGTCCGGCTGAAAGCTCTGGCCCAACAGCACCTGCGAGCAGCCCCTCACCCTGGTCGATGCCATTGATGAAGAAGTGCAGGGCAGAGTTGGACTTCCTCGTGAGGCCGATGTGGTCTCCCTCCTATTCAAAGCAGAAAAGCCGTGAGCCTGGAATCTACCCACCGTCAGGCCCCAGAACAGCGCTGGGCCTTGCTGCCACCCCCTCCACAGGACAGCAGCTCCCAGAGATGTCCACGCTAGCCTCAGATCACCCTGGGGCACAGGAGGACAGGTGCCCGGGCCCTGTTCTCCACACATGGCCACGTCTGCAGTTCCTGAACACTCAGTGCAAGTCAGGCGCTGAGTTAAACCGTCTTACGGGCGTCAACTCCCTCAAACCTCAACCTATAAAATACGTGCTGCGCTGTGAACAGCCTCATTTTAGAGGCTGCCGGGCAACCCCACCTCCTCAGAAGGAACCTCAGTTCTGGGTCAGAGACCACTGAATGCATGGCGGCCAGCCAGGGACACAGAATCCCCGCGTCGCCCAGGAGGGCGGCCGGAGGCTCTGGGCCCCGCGCACCTGCAGCTCATCCAGACTGAACTCGCAGTACTCGCGGCGGGTGCCTTTGCCGTTGGTGAGGATCCCACAGCCGCTCATCATGATGGTGCCTGGTGCGGGAGGTGGACGCCCTGGTTAGGACACAGGCTTCTTCCCCTCAGGAAACCCCAGGCCTGCGCCTCCACCCCTGCCAGTGCGGGCACCTGACTGCAGGTTGGTCATGGTGGCTGGGTACTCCAGACTGTTGGGGTTGTGCGTGGTGACACCGATCTCGATGGATCCCGACCACTTATCTACAAGCTTGTCGATGCGGATCTGGGGTCCAGTGACAGCGGAAGGGAAGACCAGGGAATGTAAATACAGAGGAGGGGCCCCAGGCCTTGGTTCTTCCCAGAGCACGCCCTCCTTCCCCACCCCTCTGCCAGCACCTCCCTCCCTATCCAGCCCCATCTTCAGCTCCCAGAGGGTGAGGCGCTGGCCAAACCCCAGGGTTTGCACACCTCAAACATTTCATTGTCCCGCAGCGGGCGGTTCGTCATGACGACCCCGTTGTTGAACTCATCCAGGGGCCGCCGCCGCTCAGCTGTCTTGTTGTTGTTGCTGAGTTTGATGAGGGTCCCACACTTCTCGTGAAAGAGCAGGGCGTCATTGGAAGTGAGGATGGGCGAGGTGGCAGCGCCGCTGGATGCCAGCCCTTCCCCTGCCGGGGGAGAGCTCAGGTTCACGTTCAGGAGCCCCCCGTTGTAGGCAGACAGGATGGTGTTGCTCACCACCTCCGACAGCTCCATGCTGGCAAAGTCTACAGCAGCAGGACGGAGGAAGGACAGCGCGATGAGACCGCGCCCTTGGGCTTGGCGCCCTCTCTCCCTGGCCCTGTCCTGCGGCCCCTCCCCTGTCCACCTCACTGCCCACTTCCCCTCCCAGGGCTTCCCCGAAGCCCTCACCATTATGCGAGTCAAGGCTGTTAGGAAACGTCTCCGGCCGGGCCTGCGCTGGGGACACCATGAAGGCTGGGGACCAGGTGGGAGGGGAGGGGAATAAGGGTTCAGTCCCTGCACCAGGGCCCACAGACAGGAGACCCCCTCCTTGAGCCCCTGCTCTCTGCAGGGATCTGAAGGGCCCTGCCCACACCCGGCCTCACCTGTCACTACAAGTCTCCCACCTGAGCTACTCCCGCAGCCCCACCCCTCCGCCGCGGCCCTGGCTGCGTTCTTACCTTCATCCCCGGAGGTTCCCTGTTCAGCCAAGGCGGGATCTTCAGAGGGGGCTGAGGGCTCGAGGGGAGGGGTGGGGAGGGGAGCAGGGGGACAGAAGCCTGGCTCAGGGGGCAGCACAGTGATCTGGGTGCACTTGCCATAAAGGTCCACGACAGCCCAGACCCGAGCGGGCAGGCCTGTGGCAGCCACGCCACAATCCCGCCCGTTCACCCAGAGCCGCAGCTCCCCCGCAGCCGTGCGTTCCACGCCCACACGGTCCCCTTCGCCAAGCTGGTCCAGGTCCTGGCCGTACTCCTCCAGCACGGAGCGTCCGTCCCTCAGCACCGAGCAGCCTGACACTACCCACGAACCCCCCTTCAGTCCCGTGGCGCTGCTTGGGAAGTCCAGCACGCTGGGGTCCAGCGCCGTCACCCCGATCTCAATGGAGCCGCTCCAGGAGTTGACCTGTGTGTGTGACAAAGGCAGCGGATAGAGGCCCAGGGTGGGCCATCAGTGGGTCCCCAATGGCTGGAAAACCACACCCCACAGGCCTTTGTATCCCCTTCTTCCTATCCTTCGGCTCACTGGCTTTCCCTCTCTGAGATGCTGATCCAGACACGCAAACCCATGAGGCATTTCCCACTCTGCCTCAGTCATCGTTAGGGTCTGCTCTCCTCCAGACCCTGCGTGTCCTAGGGTGCTCGGGGTCTACCCCACTCTTCCCCGCCCCCTCCCGCGTAGGCTCAAGTTCCCAGCCAGCCTCCTAGCTGGCCCAGGTCACCCTCCTCCCTCGGGCCTCCTTCTCTCCAGGCTCCGCCCAGAATCTCCTCCCAGATTTTCTCACACACACCTGCCTCGCCCGGGTCCTCTTCACCCATCTCTCTGGCCCTACCTGTGAGTTCCCCCCTCCGATGCTTAGTCCTTGTCTTGGGATCTCTCTTCTCTTCCCAGCACATCTCTGCATCCCCCACCCCCAAAAAGCTGCTCCAAGGAGGCTGCTCCCTAGTCATTCTACCGGCGAGCCCCCGTGCCCCCCTCCACTTCTGCTCCTGTTTCTTCCTTCGGACTGGACGTCCCTGCTCGCTCCCTGTGCATCGCCCGGTGCTCTACGGCCTGTCGCTTCCCTGTCAGTACCCAGCGACGTGGGCTGCCCTGGCTACCCCGCCCCGTTCTCCCTCTGGTCCCCTCCCACTCCTTCACATCTCGGTTCCGCCGCCCCGGCTCTGCACCTTGCGGTCGATGCGGACGGTGAAGACGCGTCCATCGCGCAAGGGTTCTCGGCTCAACACCAGGCCGTGGTTAAACTCCTGGCCCGGCTGCTGCCGCCGCGCTGTACGCCCACAGGCCGACAGGCTCACCAAGCGCCCAGTGCGCGGGTGCAGCTCCGCGCCGCTGCCGAGACCCCCGCTGGACCCCGGTCCCGGGCCGCTCCCGCCGGGGCCCGCCCCGCCCCCGCCCGGCCCCGGCCCGGGGCCCCCACTCCCACCCGACCCCGCCGCCATCGCCGCTGACACCGGGGCCGCGCGACAGTCGCGCTTGGCGGCACCGTGGCAACCGCGGTAGACGGACACCCTGAGGGAATACGACCCGGGGCTGGGGCCAGAAACGCTTTACGGCACAGCCGGGCAACGAAGCACCTCCGGCTAAGGAACTAAGGACTACAACGGTGGGAACAGAAAGGACGACGGGGTCGGGGCGGGCTGCTTTACGGCAAGGCGCGATGACAGTGTCTCTGAGAGGAGTGAGGACTTGGGGAGGGCGCTTTTGCGACAGTGAAAGGAGGATACGCCTGTCGCAGGCATCTTTACGACGGAGGGCATGCTGGCGCCCAGCTTCAGCTTTGCGACGACCGCATTGTCGGCCCCACCCCCCTGGGAGAGGCAACACCTCCAAGTATTCGCTTTACGGCAGCAGAGGGCCGATTCGCTTCACGTTACTTCCTGCAAGGCGCTATGAGCTGAGTCTAGGGGAGCCAGAAAAGCCGTAGCTTTATAAATGAAAGTGCCTGCCCTCCACGTCACTGAGATCGGAAATGCGTTACGACAGCGTCGCAATCTCCTCACGCAACGCCTCGCTCCTCTCCTGAGGAGCAGAGAGCCGACTATTTAGGGAAGAACAAAAAAATTCCTATATATTTCAGGTCAAGTCTAGCTTGATCTCCAACCAAAGAAGCGCCCAGTTTCAAGCAATGGCACCGATGGTCCCAAAAGATTCCTTCAGAACTATATGCCCCCGGCGCAACTCCTGTCCTCGCGCTGTTGGCGGACTGTGATGTCACAATCGAGGCTTCTCGCCCCCTAGCCAGGTCCTCTGGCTTTGATTGGCTGGTTCGGATGAGGGCGGTGATGGAGGAGGGCGGGAACAAATCGCAGAGACAAAGAAAGTCTCTGGGTTGGACAGAAAGGGAACGGTGACTGGAGGGTGCCCCGGCCGGAGGCCTCAGGATGGTCTAGAAGCCGCCCACCGCCCACCGCGGCGGCAGAGAACGGAGGGGGAGGGGGCCCGGGCCTGAACCCTCGCGTTCCCCGCCCCCCCCGCGCTGGGGGCGGGGCCTGGGCGGGGCTTGCGGAGCAGGGAGGCGGGGCGGGTGGCGGACAGTGGCCCCCTGGTGGGGCCATGGAGAAGCAGGAGCCTTGGGGAGCTGCCAGCCGCTTCGACGGGGGATCTCCTGGCCGGGCAACCAAGGCCGGGCCAGAAGGGGTCAGAGGAGCCGAGGCAGGCCCTCGGCACCCTCAGTTCCCCGGGAGCTCCGCCATTCACAGCCCTGATTCGCGGCGGGCCCCTGCGGGAGTGGGCCTCGGTACCCCTGGCCGCAAGTGCGGCACGTGTGTTGCTGGATACAGCACCCCGTACCCTGGAAGCAGTGTACCCCACTCCGGGGCGCACGGTTCAGAATGCGGTTCGTGCCACGGGGCAACCTGCTTGCAATCCAAAGACTCCGGTGTGGACCAACCCCGGGGCATCCTAAAAACCGGCCCCGAATTGTCGCGATCCCCCAGTGCGGAGAAGTAAGGAGCCCAGCCCTGCCGGCAGGGGGCCAGCGCCGGGCAGGAGTGTTGCCGGGACACCGAAGGGGCGGACCCAGGAGGGGGCGGGGTGGAGTCCTGAGAACCACCCCTAATTGGGAGAGGAACGCTGAGGTTCCCGGCCTCTGGGGAGAGCAGCAAGCGCCCCAGGAATCCGAGCCGCCTAAGTGCCTTGCCCCATCTACCAGGGTATAAGAGGAGTTTTTTGAACCCCCTGGAAGGAAAAGGGAGGCTGTGAGGAAGCAGTCACTAGAAAGTCTCCTCCCCCTTTTCTGTGCCCACCCCCCCCAAAGAAAGGCTCAGCGCTGGGATGAGATGAATATCTTGGCCACCTACCACCCTACCGACAAGGACTACGGCTTTATGAAGGTGGACGAGCCCAGCACTCCCTACCACAGGTGCTGGGGCTCGGCTGCAGCCCTCAGGGCCAACACCCTCCCCCCACGGGGCGGGGGGGGGGGTGGGCTGCCGGTCTCCTGACAGTGCTTCCCCCTCCTCTGCAGAAAGGACAGTGACGAGGAACTGGCTGCAGGGTCCTCCCCCAAGGTATCTCCCGAATTGCTGCAGGAGAGGTGAGAGTCCTGGCAGAGGTCACCCCTCACCTCCACGGGGCTCTGTCTGAGGCAGTCCTTTTGGGTCCACAAAATGGGAGGTCCGACCCGTGCTCTCGGGGCCCAGCCAGGAACCAGCCTGGGGAGGGAAGGATCAGGCAGCGTGGCCCCATCTACCAACTGCCCCTATGGTTGCCCCAACTAGTCTCCCTCCCCTTCAGGTTTGCAACAATGGACAATTTCCTCCCCAAGGTCCTCCAGTATGGTGATAACAGAAGCTCAGAGCCTGCAGACAGCTTTGCCAAGACGTGTAAGATCCGGGGCCAGGGACTGGGTGGGAAGGGCAGGCAGGATGTACCTTCCACCAGAGAGGGCCTGGTGGGACAGCCAAGCTCGCGCCGACCCACAGACTCCAGCGATTTTGGCAAGCAGCGCAAGACACACTATGATGAAGGGAAGTTTTTCAAGTCTCAAAAAACCGTCTTGGAGGACAAGGATGGCCGTGGACGTGGTGCCAATATCAGCAGTGGCGGTCAGCATGTACTGCGGGACCCGGAGCCCAGGCCTGTGGAGAGAGACTGGGAAGGCGGACTGAGCAGCGGAGTCAAAAGTGAGACTGGGCGCAGTGACCGGGAGCCGGGGGCAGCGATGCTGGGGCTCCAAGCTCAGGGGTGCTGTAGTCCAGAACTTGTCCTTCACTTCTCCACCGTGCTCAGCCCAGACCCCACCGCCTGGGAGGTGATGCCAAGGGGAGAAAGGAGGCAGCGGGAGTGGGGTCCCCACTCAGGATGCCCCCCAGAGATGGGTAACTGGTGAGGAACAGAGAGGCCACTGAAGGGGAGGGTAAGAGAGGTACACGGGACGAGAACCTGCGACTCGGGTTTCTGCCCCCTGGCGGGGGCCCGCAATGGACACCTGGGAGGCAGGGACACAGCAGCTGACCCCGAGGCTTCGGCAATTCCTCAGATTACTCTTCCTGTGGCAATCGGTCTGTCCCGGCCTCCGGCCCCGTCACCATGGAGCAGGGCATGGGTCCAAGACGTAAGGAGTATTTCAGCAAAGGAAGATACTTGAGGTCGGACTCCCATCCAGAGCTGGACACAGAGGACACGCGGCAGCACAGTGAGAGCTGGGGGGGGGGGGATCGGTCTTGGGGGCTGGAGGGCTGAGAACCAACACACCCACCCTGGGTGCCCGACCCTCATCCTGTGACGTTCCAGGCTCCACGGGCCTGACCTGGGTGATGGAGAGTCCCATAAGCACTGAGGTCCGTTGCCTGGATCCCAAAAGAGGCTCTTTGAGGGATCACAACAAGCCCAGTGAGGACTCCCTGACAATGACATCATCACAGCCTGGTGAGGGCACCGGGCCACCATCTCCGGGGTGACAAGCTCCTGTCTCCCAGCCCCCAACCCAGCAATAGCAGGTGGTAAGGGAGGCTCTGCAACCCGGAGGCCAGGACCCAAATCGTCCAGGAGGGAGCCAGGGAGGCCTGGGGGGTGGGTCAAGACCCTTTCCAGCTTGGCCCCGTCTGTCAGCTCTGCACCGCCTCCTTGACTCCCCTCTACCGCTTCATCCGCCCCACTGCAGGAACCACCGTGTCCTCCCAGGACAGTGGGTCTCAAGTGTCCAGCTGGTATCAGTGGCCCGTGGCCAAGGAGCTGGACCCTCAAGGCCCAGGGAGTTCAAAGAAAGAACACGGAGGCAAACCAAATGCCCCAGGCCAGAGCGGGCACAAATGTGAGCCTAGGCAGAGGCAAGGGGGCGCTGGCCCGGGAGAGAAGGGGGCACAGTGGGTGGGTTCCAGGGAGCTGGGAGAGGGGGTCAAATGGATGAGATCGTGTGCCTGCTGCGGGAAAGCTACTGAGCCCACCTGTTCCCTCTCCAGATGAAGCCTTACACGTTCACTGGACTCAGGAAGACCAAATCTGACCATGGAAAGTACAGCCATCTGGGGGTGGGGTGAGGACCACCTTCCCCTGCCCTCGCCGCCCCAGGGTGCACAATAAAGAGACGAGCAGGAGTCTGAGTGCTGTGGATTGGGTGCCCAGTCCTCAAGGAGAGGGGAGGAAGGAAGGGGGTCTATGCACAGGACACCATGTACTGGACCCCGGCAGGGTGGCCGTGACCGAGGCAGTCAGCTTGGGCGCCATGCGTTTGCCAGCATCCCCCTCCTCAATTCTTTGAGCAACCCGGAAGGCAGAGGTTATTGCTTCCAGCTTCCAGCTGGGGAGACTAAGGAATCGAAGCGCTAGCCCAGGGCCGCACAACTTCTAAGTCACGGAGCCAGCTGCTGAACCTAGACCGTCCCCAGAGACTCGGGCCCCAGGAGGAAGATGACAGCCCATAGTCTCTGGGGGCGGGGCTGTGGCTTCTCTGATCTCAGGCCCCCTCCCCCCACGCAGGCCCCACCCTACCCCTCCTAGCACAGCCTGGAAGTGTGGGGTGAGAGCTCCTCCTAGGACGCCCCCTTCCCTCGGGCACAGAAGTGCACCCCCAGGCCCTGTCAGCAGAGGACCCTCTCTGCTTCCCCCTCCCACGACGCCCCTGCTGGGGCCGCGAGTGCCTCCCCCTGCATCCTCACCCACCTGCCTCCAAGGACCCTGGGGCAAGTTGGACCAAGATGACGGTCAAGCTGGACTTTGAGGAGTGTCTCAAGGATTCGCCTCGCTTCCGGTAAGTGTGTGCGGGTCTGCGGGGCCCGAGGAGGGGGAAGGTCCAAGGCCCCCCAACGGACACGGCTTTCCCCAGCACAGATCTCCCTCCAGGGAGTAGGCCCCAAAGGGATAAGAGTTGTGGACCCGAATGGTATCTAACCGTGGGCCTCCAAAGTTCCCCACCTACTGCCTGCATCTTCTGGCCTCTCCAGCCTCTCTCATCCCCCAGAGCTGGCATTGCCGCCTCCCTCCCACCAGGACTCCTGCCCCTCCCCCGCACCTGCTCTGGGGCGGTTAGCGACTTCCTGTCCTGGCCACATCCACCTTCCTTCTACCCTTCCTGCTCTGGCCCCCAGCTGCAGTTGCTCCTAGAGTGATCAAGCAAGGGGCTGGGGGTGGGGGGAGGGGGCTCCTGAACCCAGCAGCTTTCTCAGTCTGTACCCAGCACTCTGCGCCCCTCACCCCAACACGGGCGCAGCAGAGAGACCCCTACAGATCCAAGCTCTGTTTCCGTGACCGCGGCCCTCCTCTCCCAGAGCCTCTATCGAGCTGGTGGAAGCCGAAGTGTCAGAATTGGAGACCCGTCTGGAAAAGGTGACCCAGGAGCCCAGTAGCACGAGAGGGCCAGGGAGAAAGCTGGAGAGTGAGACGGGGTTCCAGGGTGACTAAGTGCTGATTGTGTAGGGTGGATATTTGGGGGAGTGCAGAGAAGCACACCGGTGGTCTGAGCCTTCAAGGAGCTCAGGATCTTAGAAGACAAGAGTCGCTGTGAGCCCCCTGCATCGAGCAGTCCCCAGGCGGAGTAGGAGCCTTCCTGGGCGCTTAGAGCCTGCAGACTGGCCCTGGAAGTCACAGCAGTGAAGTGGTTACACACCAGGACAGGGAGGCCTCCACTCTGCTTTGTTGCTATGTTAACTAAAACAAAAGCTTTTGTTGTTGACTATGCAATGCTTGTAGGTTTTTAGGGGATAGAGTACAGTATTTCAACACATGAACTAGTCAGGTAACTGGCATGTCCATTTCCTTGTCTTTCTCTCTGTGTGGAGCCCACCAAGCGCTCCCTCCTCGTCCTCCACGCGATGTGCAGTACGTGACTGCAAACAGCTTGCCCGCTGTGCTGCACAGCCCTAGAACGTATGCCTGCTCTCTGTGTGCAGACCTGTTATCCTCTCTGCCCCCGCAAGCACCCTTTAAAAAAACTTTATTTTAAAGGAAGGCAAGAGACAGAGAGAGAGGCCTTGCATCTGCTGGTTCACTCCCCAAATGCCCGCAACAGCCAGGGCTTAGCCAGGCCAGGCTGAAGTCAGAAGCCTGGAACTCCATCTGGGTCTCCCACCTGGGTGGTAGGAACCCAACTACTTGGGACATCCCCTGCTGCCTCCCATTAGCAGGAGGCTGGATTTGAAGTGGAGGAGGTGGGACTTGAACCAGGCAGTCTGATATGGGAAGGGGTGTCCTGAGTGGCTTAACCACTGTGCCAAATGCCCACTGCACCAGTTTGTTTTTGTACACTTTTCTCCACTAGGATGGAAGTACCAGGAGGGCCTTCTATGTTTTATTTTTGTTCAGTCTCCAGTGCTTGAGAGAGTCTGCGAGCTAATAGCTGACCAATGCATATCTATCTTTAAATACACTTTTTTATAATTTGAGTTAATTATAGACTTTCACGTGCCTGTCACCCAGCTCCCCCAGTGGTGACATCTTTGCATACGTCTAGGGCCTTATCAGAACCAGGAAATTAATATTTGCTCAGTACAGCTCGCCATAAAGTCTGCATACTTAACTCTGATCTTGTGTTTTGGGCATACTGTTTTTTCTTGATAATAATTCTATGGCACTTTAGCACATGTAAGATGCATATAACCATTACTCCTCAGGATCCAAAACTTATCACCACAGAGGAATTCCTTTGTGCTGTCCCTTTGTAGAGAGAGCCTCCCCAACCCCTTCTCTAAGCTGTGGTGAACACTGATTTGTTCTTCATAGTTTTATCACTTCTAGAATATTGCATAAGTGGAATCATATAATATATGACCTTTTTAGAAATTGTATTTATTTATTTTCACTTCATTTGAAAGGCAGAGAGACAGACAGAGATCTTCCATCCACTGGTTCACTTCCCAAATATCCATGGCAACCAGTTCTGTGCCAGGCTGAAGCCAGGAGCCCAGGACTCCATCCAGGTCTCCCACGTGGGTGGCAGGCACCCAAGTACTTGAGTCACCATCTGCTGCCTCCCAGGGTGCACATGAGCAGGAAGCTAGGTCAGAAGTGAACCAGGCAGTGCCGTATTTGGTATGGTCGTCCACAGCCCACAGCATCTTAACTGCTCACCAAACACCTGACCTTTAAGACTGGCCTTTGATCGGCACCGCAGCTCACTAGGCTAATCCTCCGCCTGCGGCACCGGCACCCCGGGTTCTAGTCCCAGTCGGGCGTGCTGGATTCTGTCCCGGTTGCTCCTCTTCCAGGCCAGCTCTCTGCTGTGGCCAGGGAGTGCAGTGGAGGATGGCCCAAGTGCTTGGGCCCTGCACCCGCAGGGGAGACCAGGAGGAAGCACCTGGCTCCTGGCTTTGGATTAGCGCAGCGTGCCGCCCGTAGTGGCCATTTGGGGGGTGAACCAACAGAAGGAAGACCTTTCTCTCTGTCTCTCTCTCACTGTCTAACTCTGCCTGTCAAAAAAAAAAAAAAAAAAAAGATTGGCCTTTTAGCCCGATGTTGTGACACGGTGGGTTAAACCACAACTTGTGATGCCAGGTGGATTCCTGCCACCCGTGTGGGAGACCTGAGTGGCATTCCAAGCTCCTGGCTTTGGCCTGGCCCAGCTCCAGCCATGGAGGCCATTTGGGGAGTGAACCAGCAGATGGAAGTTTCTCTCTCTCTCTCTGTCTTTTCCCCATCCCCTGCCCCATCCCTGTAACCCTACCTTTCAAATAAATAATACATCTTTTCTAAAATGATTGGCTCTTTCCCCCACTCAGAGTGATGCTCTCCAGTTGTGGCATGTGGCAGTAGTTTGTTCCTTTGTCTTGCTGGGGACTATTCTACGTCATGTAGTGTCCGTGCTCAGATACAGCGGGGCCTGGTGTGGGTGAGGGACAGGGTAGACACTTAGTGCCCTGAATCCACACAGTGCATTGTGGGCATCCTTCATCACACACTGCTACGCTTTAGTCCTGCTCAGCTTCCTGACTGCCAACGCTCCTGTCTGCCAGCCGCCTCCAAGCTGTAGTCCCTGAAGCATCCCCAAGTCCCAGAAAGCGCTGTTCAGTTCACAGAAGTGCACTGAACACCTCCGCAGCCCCGGCTTTCTGAACTCCTGCTGCCCTGGATTGCCCCGGAGCTGCCCTGGTGGTCTCTTGCCTCCTGGGCTGAGCTGAAGGGCTCCACAGACAGTGGCCCCATCCCTGACAGGATGATACGGGCCAGAGGGCCCTGTGGTGTGACTTTAGGGGCAATGTGTCATAGCCCTGCAGGCAGTAAGGTCTTGGGGTCAGGGACTGGACTCTGGCTCAGCCACCTGTGCTCCCAGAGGGCCCCTTCACAGGCCAGCCTCTTGCCCCTTGGTTGATCAAGTGTCTCTGTCGGTTGAAGAGGCCACATAGGATGGATTCCAGGAACACCTTAGGCTCCCATCTTGGCCCTGACCCTGGGGCTTAGAGGACCAATGACTGTAAGGGAACCTTGAATGAGCACAGAATGGATGACCCCATTTTAATCTTTTTCAATTTTTCTGCTGGTCAATAATCATTTATTTGACATTTATCATGCCAGTGGCAATTAGACTTGAGACAGATTTTCTGATGTGATGGACTAATTTTAATGTAGTGTTTACTGAGAGAAAATAAATATTTCATATTAAAAACAAAAAAAGAATGACAACCCCCAGCAGTAAAGCTAGGGCACTGAACGCCCACCTGTGAGCCAGACAGTACAGAAAGAGGGTGTTTCTGGGTCTCCCAGGCAGGCCAGGGAGAGACACAGCAGAGTGAGTCAGGAGACGCTTTGGGAGATGGACCTGACAGTGGTCTTGGAAACAGGCTGGGAGGAGCTGACAGCGGGAGCCGAGCAGAGATGAGAACAGACAAGGTTGAGTGAGGAATGGGGAGAGCTGGGCCAGGCTTGCAAGGCAGGTAGGCAAGGTGGGAAGGAGAGTGCGCCCTGGGCAGGGGGGCGGGGGGTGTCACCTGGTGCTGCAGCTCCTGGCACACCCACCGTTGCCCTCTTTCCCAGCTCCTCAAGCTGGGCACCGGTCTCCTGGAAAGTGGGCGCCAGTACCTCGCCTCCAGCCGGGCCTTCATTGCTGGCATCTGTGACTTGGCCCGTCTGGGTCCACCAGAGCCCATGATGGCGGTATGTGGAGGGG